CAGCAACGTGTTTTTGTCAAGGTGCCTGAACTTTTTTTTTATTCAGAGCATTTACCCTTGTTATCGTTCAGATCTTTCTTTGGTATTGTTTCATGACTTGGGCTCCTTCAGGAGGAAAACTCTGGGCCTAGATAAAAATCTTCACAAAATGGCCCTCACCAGGATAATGCAGTTTGCCTCCTAAATAGTCCTTTGTTTCTTGGTAGAAATGGAAACAACCAGACATTATGGAGTAGAGGCAAGTCACCCACCACGTGCCCTGTCAGAGCTCTTGGTCCACAAAATTCATGAGCATAAGAAAATTTTGGGGTGGTTTCATGCCACTAAGTGCAGGTAGGTTTGTTAATAAAACAATAAAAGTAATAAAATAGGTATTATGATTGGTATCTGGACAAGATGTTGAATAAAGTATTCAACATTATCATAGCTCAGTTTCTTTGTTTTTAAATGGGGTGGATGGCAGTAATATTGATGTTCATCTGTTGACAATCTATTACTTTCCAGGTATATATATATATATATATATATATATATATGTACACACACACATACACGCACACATATATATAAAATCTCCATATACTTATATAGACGTTATAGGTACATACGCATATATGTAGGTACAATTGATTCTTGTTATTTGTAATAGTTATATCCTATGAAGTTGCTAGGAACACTGAATTAGCAAATTCTGAAGCATTGTTGCTAGGGAAAATAACAGGGTTAGGCTCCTGTGAGTCTCTGATCACAGTATTTCCATCAGCCAATCATTATGTAGCCTTGTTTTGTGTTTCTGTTTAAGGAAACCTTATTTAATATATATTGTTGATTCCTTAACATGGAACTCACAGTCAACAGTGCCGTAACTGATGCCGGAATGAGGCTGCTGTAACACTTCACTTGTTCTTTCTCTGGAAGGTGCATCATGGCCTTCTGACACTTGGGAACACCAGGCAGTGTCTCAGCGCTATGCTTGGGACAGTTTAAACAGCAAAATCACCAGCCAAAAGCACAAAAGAGAACATATGGCATTACCTATGTCATGAAAAGGACAGTTGTTTCTTGCATGGGAGCTGAAACAAGAAGCTAGTGGGTGGCCTTGCTTGACCTCAGCCGTGGGTGTGAGCTTTGGGTGACTCACATGCTCCCCACTTTGGGGTGCCCACGAATGACTGCGGAAGCTCTTGAGTACTGATTTTGGGGTTACACATTTTAGTGAGTAGGAGAGATTGCAAATATGGAATCCGCAAATGTATAGACTATGTTTATATAATTTCTTTTAGTCCCCACAATAGCTCTGTTATGTGGGATTAGATATGTATGTTCTTGACTAGTTCATTATGTTGTCCCTCCCCCACTGCCTGTTAACTTTTTGAATGTTAAATGGTATCATGTGGGTAACGATACTATTTGAAAATCTGATTTTCTCTTTTGCACAGCTTTGGCTATGACTTCTGTCTATTCTGCCAGTGGACTGAGAAGTTCCAGCAGGGATGCTTAGAGAAAGAGAGAGGCAGTATTTGGAAGCCACCCTTTTGATAGTGCACACTAGTGGCCAGATACTAGTGCTTTACGTATGTTAATTCAGTCCTTCCCAGAGCCCTGCATGGTGGTAAGAACAGTCATGCCATGAGCCCAGACAGTCTGGCCATAGATCCTACTGTTTACCCTTGTGCTTTAAGGTACCCTTCAGCAGTCAGCTTTTGATACGCAGGGTAAGATTTTATTAGTCCAGAGTAAAACAGTATGCTTAAATAGGCATTGTTAGAGAAGGAATTTCTCAATTTCCTTTCTAACATATCAAAATCTAAGTCTGGTGATTAGAGATTTCCTTTGTAAGGCTACATCTTCACCTCTAAGGCTTTAGTGTCTCTGTGAAGAAATAGGATGCAGTGTAGGGGTGTCCAGCCAGACTGCAAGAGATAAAAAGCTGGACCTTTTCTCCACAGTGGCCTGTGGGATGGAGAAGGGAGACAGAAGGAGGTGAAAGCAGAAAAATATTTGGTCACTTGGGTTGCAGCTCTACACTTAACTGCCCTGTTGCTAAAAATCAAAGTCAATATCTTAAAGAAGGGAAATATTAATATTAGGTATGTTGAGAGGAAAGTGGAAATCAAATGCTTTGCAGGAAATAGACTTGAAGGATGCCCTCTGTATCAGAGAAAATTGTCACTGTGGTGAGATTAGGCAGAGGAAGACCAGAGTTAGGGTTACTGAATACAGCTATGCAGGATGTGCACTGCACAACTCTGTAGGTCATACTCACACAGACTCTGCTTGGAATGCTCTGTCCCTTCAAGTTGTGTTTTGTGGTGGCCCTGGCCTGCGTTGGCTTTCTGGAGCCTGATTTGGTTCTTATGTGATATGGAAGTATCCAGAAGCTCCCTTGTGCTTTATGAAGGTACATGGTGATATGCCTAGCAGTGAGAACTATCGCAATGGACGTTCTTAGCTTGATGAAGCTGAAATTCAGGGCTGCAGGGTAGCTCCCTGAACCAGAAATCAAATGGGAGTTGTGTGCAGACCTCAACGGGATGCGCTGAAGGAGGGCAGATTCAACCAAAAGGGCCTGCTAGGCCTGATGGAGTTGAGAGAAGGGATCACAGTGGCATCGGCCACAGATGCCCACAGGGTGAGCAGTGACCAAGTCAACACAGAACCCTACTGCTGCAAAGGCCACAGAGGACTTAGAGAGCTGAGTACCTACTATGCTTTGCGGATATAAAAATGAATAAACTATATGTCCTGCCTTTGAGTTTCTTACAGGTTCATGGGAAAATCAGACTGAAATAAATAAATGCAAGTAAAGTTTGATACTATGATTAGATGTTTGCCCAAGATAATGTGGGGATCCAGGGGAAAGTGTAATTAATCAGTGCCCATGGAAGAGCAGGCAAGAAGCAGTTCACAGGAGATGTAATACCCTAGTGGGTTTTGAAGGATGACTAGGAGCTTGTCAGGTAACTAGGTGTGAAGGTATATAATCAAAGGCAGAGGAACCAGCACATGCAAAGGCATGGGCATGTAAGAGAATATGGGCTTTAGACTCTACAAGCATGGGCGGGACTAGCCTCTGGAGTTTACAGTGAATGAAGGGCCCCGTGTTTGAGGTTTGATGCTCTGTGGTTGTAGTCTGGAAATTCTTAGTAACTTGTCTTTGAATTTATGTTTCTAACCTTGGCTCACCCATGTTCCTGGGTTCCCAGAAGCAACTCTTGGCTGCCTGTTCACTGCCTACTGGAGCCCTGGGCACTACTCAGTCTCCGCCATATTCCCTCTCCCTCCCCCAGCCCGTAACTGCTGCAGCCTTTTGCCCCAGTGGGGGCCTAGATCTGAGTGAGTGCTGGGAAAGTTGGGGTGGGGTCCGCATGCCCCATGGCATCTCGGAGCAGGGCTTGGCTTTGGCTCTCCCCTGCCCTGGGCTGGCAGCACCACTGTGTGTTCCGCAGGTGACTTGGAGGGGCAAGCCTCTTGTGTCTGAGCACAGAGGTTGCAGTGCCCTGAGGGCTGCTCATTTACTGTGGATTGGGGTAGCAGGTCGTGGGAAGAGGAAGTATCTGGCTTGATTTCCCTGACCTGGGCTGGCAGAAGGAGGGGGCTGGCAGCCAGGAGGCCACATGTGTGCCAAGTCTTCTCACATCTGTAAGAGTTTGAACTCTCCCTGCAAGTATGCTGGGTGCTTCAATGACCTCACACTAAATAGCAAATAAAAAACACCAAGGCATGTCAAGAAAAAGAATGTAGAAGGCAGGAAAATGTTTTCTATTTCAGAACTTTTGATGGCTCACTCTCTTTCCTGTCTCTCCTCTCCTTCCTGTCTCTCCTCTCGTCTCTCTCATCTCTCATCTCTCTTCTCTCTCCTCCTTTCTTCTCCCCCTTCCCTCTCTTCCTCTGCTGCCTCTTTCTTTTTCTCTTGCTCGTTCCTCTCTCTGCTGCTCTTCCTCTTTCTCCTCTCGTGCTTTCCTCTTTTTCCTCTATCTCTTCTCTCTCCTCTCCTTCTCCCTCTCCTCTCTCCCTCTCTCTCTCCTTCCTCTCTCTCTCTCTCTCCTTTTCCCTTTCCCACTCCCTGTCTCTCCTCTCCCGCCTCCCTCCCCTCTCCCCCTCCCCTCTCCCTCCCTCCCGTCGCTCTCTCTCCTCTCCTTCTCCTCTCTCCTCTCCTCGTCTCTTCTCTCTCTCTCTCAGGCGATCTTCTCTCCTCTCTCTCTCTCGTCTCCCTCGTCGTCTCTCTCTCCTCTCTTCTCTCTCTCTCTTCTCTCGGCTCTGACCATTTCTTTTACAAGAGAGAATTGTGAAACTTTTGAAGCCTTTGCATGAGATGGAAGAGAGAGATGCATTGATACACCAAAAATATATAGACGCTGTTTCGGTGTTAAGTAATTTTTCATTACTTCACAGGGGCCTAAGTCAGTTTCTGCTTTACAAATGAATAAAGTTCAAAAACCATGATTCCAGTTCATCTGGAAAACTGACGAGAGAGCCAGTGTCAGAGGTCCTAGCTCTAGGATTCACCCTGCTGTTAACCCTTCAGGCACCTGTTCTTTTCATAATCCTCATGGCCATAGTGGTGTAAAAAAATGCAAGGTTAATACAAACGGTCAGGAGGACTGTGGATTTACTGCACCAGGAACGTGTTAAATTGTACCCTAGTGGCCTGAGAGAGCTAATGCATCTTCCAAAGCAGGTAATTTGCTGGCCTGCAACTGGGAGGAAAAGAATGTGGGATCATAAGATATCTGGGTGGGGGCAGGAGAGGATATGCTTGGAGATCACAGAGCCCAACTCTTAACTGAGGCTCAAGACGCAAAGTGACTTACCCAAAGTCACGCAGTACTTGCTTTTAGAGCCAGACTGACCCAGGTTCCCTGTCTAACTCTCCTGCTTCTGAGTCCAATAACTAATAAAAATGACCATAATTCTGTGGCAAAGAGTTCATTTGACATTTGCACATCACTTTATATTTGTAACTCCAGAGTGATGATTTGTCCTTTTCCTCTTGACAGGAAACTTTCAATAGCCTAATATCTATGCTGACCAATGTTTTTTGAAGATGACATTCATTACGAAGCATATGGAACTGACCCCCATCAGCAGGATATGAAAACAACCAGTAAGAAATCTAGCTTCCTTATCCTTTATTTTTAAATTGGCACGTAATAGTCACACATATTCGTGGGTACAGTGTGGTATTTTGATACATATATACATTGTGTAATGATCAATTGGGCTATTTAGCATGTCCATCACCCATACATTTATCATTTCTTTGTAGTGACAACATTCAAAACCCTCTCTTCTAGCTAATTCAAAATATACAATGTAATGCTGTCAACTATAGTCATCCTATGGTAGAATTCCTCCTATCTAACTGTAACTTTGTACCTATTGACCAATCTTTCCCTATCACCCCTCCCCAATTCCTTCCCCAACCTCTGGAAACCACTGTGCTACTCTCTATTTCTGTGACATCAACTTTTTTAGATTCCACATATGAGTGAGGTCATGTAGTATTTGTCTTTCTGTGCCTGGCTTATTTCACTTAACGTCTGTCAGATTCATCCATGTTGTCACAAATGACAGGATTTCTTTCCTTTCTGATGATTGAGTGATATTTCATTGTGTATATTTTTGTTATCCGTTCATCTGTTGATGGACACTTAGGTTAATTTGATTTCTTGGCTATCGTTAATAGTCCAGCCTTATCTTGAGGTGTGACTGTCTTAGCAGTGCATATCGACACAATGAGCTTTGCCGTTTGGTTGCTTGAAGTCAGATGCAAAGAACTTGCGGGTGTGGGCAGTGTGAGAGCTGAGAAAAACCACATACCTTCCTGGAATAGGCATGCAGAGAAGAAATCGTTCTGGCAAATGGTCCCCTCCCCAAATGGTATATTTATTCTAATCCAGGGTAGGTTCACCTGCCCCTTAGAAAGAATGTTTCCTTCCTAGGCCAAAGTCAATCTTTGGACCTATGGGAACAGCCTCAGAAATCCAAACTAAAGAGAGAGAATGGGATATGGTAGCTCCATATTCTTGGCTAGGTGCTGAAGTGAAAAGTAAAATAAAGCAGGTTATTTTTCCAAAAGAGTGATCTTCTCCCCATAAAACTGTGTCAGGTACTACTGTGTCAGTTATCCCTAGCTACTTCTGGGATGCTGAATGGAGGTGGAGACTCTTGCTGAGACTAAGAACATTCTTCTACTGAACTCACTTCTGGGAGGAGACTTGGAACAAATTATGTGTCATACTCTCAGTGTCCTGGCTTGGAGCTTCAAGGTTGGTTAGTTCTAGTCTCAGCCCTACTCAACACCCCCTGGTCCCTCTCCCTCATTCAGTGCCTTGTGCTGATGGTATGTACTGCTCCTTAAGTAGAATCTTAGAATATTATGTCTCAGAGGAGACTTTGGGTCCTGTTGATCAATCTCTGCATTGTACAGATGGGGAAACTGGGAACCAGAGTTTATTCATTCATTTTAGGCAACCCAGTTTGTAAGTGGTTGGGTCTGGGAGTAGAACTTATGTTTCTTTCTACCATGCCGTTCTACCTGTAACTGTGCCTGTTACGTAAATTATAAAAACGTCGGGAGAGAGTCTTGAAATAATAAACTGGGATTTCAGGAATAGGATTTCAAATAATGTCTTTGGAAAGCTGTTTCTAATTGTTTCATGTGAACGCTGGTACCTGACAGACACAATGCCCTTTGGATCAATGTCATGGGATAGCTGTGGATGTGAAATGGACAGGTGGCTTGTCTTGTCAATGGTTCAGTTAACAGCAGGAAGAAATATCTTCTCAAGGGTACAACCTTCTCTTATTCATCATTAACATCCCGAGGCCCAGCATAAAGTTAGCTACTCAGAGGTTTCGTGGATTTCTGGGGTTTGTCAGCAGAAACTCTAGCGTGTGCCCTCCAAAGGGGTTGTGAGTTATTTTATCTATCGTATTTCCGCTCTACTTAAATGCTGTTGATCATGGTGCATGCTATTGATCAGAGTATATCTTAATAAAGAGAACATTCAGAGAAGAAGATGGCTTTGCTGCTTTCTGGTCTTGGAGAAGTCATCCAACTCTGAGCTTGAGTTTCCTCATCTGTAAAACAAGGAAGTCAAACTAAATCACTGTTTCCTTTTTGTGCTAACATTACATGATCCAAAAAAAAAAAATAGCATGGCCTTTTCAATAATAAAAATTTTGATCGAGACATTGTATGTGTGTGTTTGGCTTGCTCTATAGACATGATATATGGGAAGATGGTTTTATAGTTCTGAAAATCAGGTGCATACAGATTTAAATGACTGTCTGATTATATATAGGCCAACTATTTCTTCTCGGCTTACTGGACAAACAGTTTCAATATCCACCATAAAAATTGTTTTAATGGTTTGTAGGAAAAAACCCCAAACATGAATCCTCAATTAAATTAAATTGAAATTTGTATAAGGTCTTTGTTTAGGTTGAAAGGTACATTGCATGTATTTATTTGGAAATCCCACAACTTATTCCTCTGTCATAAACCACTATACAGTGATGACAAAGACACCATATTCTTACTGTGTTAAAGCTGAAGATACTGTAACTTACATTCAGGGTTGGCTCCGGGATTGGGCTCAGGCTCCAGGAATTGATTTATAACTTGAGGTGAAACCATGAAACCACATGGACTGTTGTCTGAGAATAAGAATGACCAATTGCACCTGTATTCCTCAAAGCAAATGCTACTAAAATCTCAACTCAGCATGCTTTTACTCTCAATAGTATTGAAAAGATATCAATCATACACTGCTCCATGGAAAGAATTTACTTAAGGGGAACTGACAATACTTTTATATATTCCTGAAAAGTTCAAGCAATAGGGGATCTTGGAACCAGAGACCTTTAAGAATAAAAAGAGACCATTTAATTCAACCTCCTTATTGTAAAAATAAAGAAATAGAGACACAGGGAGGTTAAGGGACTTGCTTAAGGGCATGCGGCTAATTTAAAATGTTCAGGAATAAAACATATGTCTTAACTTCAAGTCCTGTACTCTTTTCTGTACTTTCCTGCACTCTCTAGTGTAACCATCATGTAAATCCTAAGGCTTGCCTACCATATATTGTTTCCTATGTGCTGAGCATTTACATGCTTTAAGTAATGTAATCATGAAAATAATTCATTTTGCCATTAAGGAATCTGGGCTTAGAGTAATTCCTAATATGTTAGGGTCATGTGGCTACTAAAAGGTGGGACCAGTATAGAAATTAAGGCAAGTTGACTTGAGCCAAGCAAGGGTTTATGGTACACTCAGTTAAATTTTGAATTTCAGATGAGAAACACATAATTTTTTTTTTAGTACAAGTGTATGACAAACATTGCATGGGACAATTCAAATTTAAATGAGCATCCTGTATTTTATTTGCTAACTAGACCATGCTATGTTAGGCTTGTGTATCCCATAGTTGGTTCATCTTTAAGAAGTATGCTAGGGTCATCTTTCTGCTGGCATTTCTCTGACCCCATCACATCTTGAAATTCAAAGCATCCTTTGTCACTAGTTTATATTTTGACTTCTTACAATTTGAATTTGATCTAAGTACCCTGGGACTTGGTGCTGAGGAGAGAGATGGTTGGGAGTGCAATGGGGTAGAATGTTTCTGGGCATAGGATTTCGCAGGTGCTAGTTACAGATACTGAAGACAACTGTGCAAAGCAGTGTTGTAAGTTGGGTGGTTTCTTTCCTTGGATATGATTTCTGTTGGTTTAAATTTCCCCCTGGTTTTACTATTTCTTCATTTCCCCCAAATAACACTATTTAAAGGCAAACGAGGCCCATGACCTATTATGTTATTCAGTGTTCCTGCAGGACACAGAGCTGGGAGAGTTGGCATAGCTTAGGCAAACTAATCGAACACTCTGCTCCTTTACTGTGGCCTGAGTAACACATTTTCCCAAGCGTGGGGAGGAGAAAAAATTCCTCCAGGTTTCCTCTCTTTTAAAGTCCACCCTGTACTGACATCCGCATCGAGTCAGAAGCCAATGCAAACATATCCCAGGAATGTAAGGAGGTTTCACAGTTAGGAAACCTCTTATTCTAATTCACTGTTTTCCACCATGCGATAATCGCAATGGACATAAAATGAGCACATGATAAAATCCAACACTCATTACCATTAAAACAAACATGGAATAATGTAAGTAGAGAAGCAGAGTTTCCTAATTTGGGAAAAGAATATACAAAACCCTATAGTTCTAATATAATCTAATTATGATTAAAATGCCTATGAATACATGAAAAGGGCTGGAAGGATATGCTTCGAACTATTAACAATAGTTGCTTCTGGGGGTTTGATGAGGTATGGAGAAGAAATTTAAAGGAAAATGTTTTCTTTTTATCCCATATGCTTCTTCATTAGAAATTTTCATGAGAATTCATATGTGTATTGTCTTTTTTGGGGAGTTCTTTAAAAAATATCTTACAGAGGTTTTTAAAAGGAAGCCTAGGCAGTCTAAAGTCTGAATTAGTAGTGAGTAATTGATGTGGGAGAGGAAAAAGAATGATACAGATGACTACTATAATAACACTTAGAAAATGCATATATGAATATAATATTTGAAAATGTCTATACACACAAGTAGGTACATAGAATATATTCTTCCAAAACAATTTTTAACTGTTAATAGTGGTTATTTTAAGAGTGTAGAAACAGAAAACAATGGGTCCTGGCCTTTTTTATATACTTTGATATTGTTTGAATTTTTTTGTCATAAAAATATTAAAAAGTAGAACTCAGAATGAAGTTGTTTTTTTTTAGCATGAATGGATGGTTTCAAGGTTTGGAGTAGGGGTGAAGTTAAGGGGAACAGAGTTAATACAGGGCTATGTTCTTTAAAAATACTTTTTAGGTCCTTGAACAATGAGAGAGGTGCAAAGAATGAAACCGATTTTAAGCAATGGCCATCCATTTATATCAAATTTGCCTCTTTAATGATGACTTCTTGTTAGAGCCTGGTAAACAAACAGAGAATTCATGGATTTTTCTAGAAACAGAAGGAAGAGGGATCAAAGTTTCCCACAAACTCTTGGTGAACCTTGTAAAATACCGGCTATTCTGTAGGTTGAAGAAGATATGA